AAAAAAAAAAAAAAATTCACCTTTATTCACCTCTCTGAAGAAAAGAGGGGAAATGACAGATATGCCATCTGCTCCTATCTGGGCTGCATGCTTGGCCTGGAAAGGAAGAAAGGAAAGGAACTGAAAAGAGACATTTATGAGACTATTGTTAAATTAATAATGCTAAAAAAATGAGAAATGCAAAATAACTTAATATGACAACAGGACCCGCTTCTGCTGATGTCAGACAGTATAAGCTTTTGAATCACACAAAACGTTTCATTATCTTCAAAGCAGTCATCATATTTTAGGGGATGCATACAGTATTTATCCATGTTTTATATTTATATACAATTCAATGAAGATGCAATGAAAAGACAATGAACTTCTTAAATTTGTGGATGAAAGTCATAGCACCACATTTTGCCTGGAGATGCATGTGTCAAGAACTTGCAAGGATAGAACTGAGGGTCTGCACATTTTAATTCTTGGTTTGTTTCCTGTGATCTGAATCATGGAGACTAATCCAAGGGACAGCTGCTAGACAAACCATTCTGTCTCACAGCTGATGATCACTCTAAGATCTGGGTCCCCAACATGGTCCTCACAGAGATCACCTTTGATACCTTGAGGGTGCGATATTTATGAAAAGACCACCAGCGTGCTGCAAAGCAAGCACCAACCTCCCTCACAATTTTTATTTCCAAAAATGCCTGTGGCCCCACCTGGCCCCATGAGTATTCTCAAAAAATAAAAATGGAAGATAAGTGTAGGCCAGTGCTTTATTTTGAAGCAAGGCCACTTGCCCACGGTAAGGAAATGAAATAAATAAGTGTTGCCAGCAATAGGCAACATCCAGGGAACTAGCTGGGATAGAAAAGTGTAACTTTCCAGTTTCCCTTCTGCTACATAAGTATTTTGTGCTTGGTCATGGTAATTATGGCAGCCATTTTGTGAATGGTCAAGTCTTCCCACTATAGCTAGTTTGTGTGACCATCCACAACATACTCTTAAAATTCCAAGTGTACTTCTAGCCCCAATAATGACTGGAGATGCCTGCTCTAAGTCTTTTGGTCCAATACATTCCATTTCTAAAATGAAGACTTCCTCCTTAATGTCATTTTTAATACTGGAGCCTCTGCTTACATGTTTGGTGAGAGAAACTAGAAAAACAGTGATGCCACCTTTGCAAAACACACTATTAATATCATTACTTCAATGTCTACCCTGGCTTTCTACTCATATCTGCATCTGTTAGTCATCCTCTACAATACCTCCCCTCGTAAGATGGTTTTCTATAACACTGGCCAATACAAATGAAGTTTCATGGAATTTTACAGGCACGCTTTTCAGAGAAATGTCCAGCCTGCAGTTAAAGGTGCCTGCGTCGCAGAGTAATTCAATTAAACTTGTCAGGAATTAGTTTCACTGAGTACATTAGCAAGTATAGAAAAAGCCCTGACAGTTCTTCCTATAAACGGAACCTGCCTTACGCAGAACTACTTGGAAATGAAATACCCCAAAGGCCCAGCTAGTTATGCCACAAGAAAATCCACATTATTCCCTACTAATGTCTCCTCTCCTTCTGAGCTGACTGTGGCTTCAGATTGAGGATAAAACAGGGAAGGGGAAATGTTAAAGCATTCCTCAACCAGCATAATTTCCTTCAATATAACACAAAGACTTCCTTAACATTTAAAACAGACACCATCTAGCCCGGACCTGAGTTTGGTGAGACTGTCTTCTGAATAAGTATGCAGAGATTTGGAACTTTTTCAAAGTGGGAAAAAGAGTTTAATATATTCAGCACCTGGCAAACTGTAGCCTCTATTACACAACTATCTACAAGACACTCAAGCATTGAGATAGTTCTGATGTGAATCATCTCAGTCAACCTGAATACAAACCTACAGTGATAATGAAGTTAGCTCCCTTTCTGAACTCTCAGGCCATATCTAGGAATAATGTCTCCTAGTTAGAAAAATTCTCTCCTTGCCCTCCAGTGTTCTGCTGGGCAAAAATCAAAGCACGGCCAAAGGGAAAAGTGCACAAACAGACATACTCACCAGGTCCTTTGATTCAGGTAAGCTCAGTGCTCCAACATGAATTATTACATGATCCAGTCTGCAGGGAAAGGAAAAAAAATTATTTTTTTTAATGTTTTTGATGACAAGCCGAGATGATCAGGGTGGGGGGGGGTAATTAAAGTGAAGATTATTGTATTATATTCATTTCACAATATTACCTTGCTCTATGTGTTATATGAACCTGCTGTGTGTCACTGAGAAGCGCACATATTAGCAATGTTATGTGGGAAAAGCTGGAGAGGGGAAAGAGCTATGTTCCCTTAAATGAAGTGCAAATAACCCATGGAGTGCTACCTAAAATTACACTGCTGAATAGGAGAAGTAAGTGTTTAAATGGGTGTATCAAGCCTCTAGTCAGCTTAGCACGCCTGATTTTAAAAAAAAAAAAAAACACCCACAGGTTGATACGTTGGCTTCACCCCCATAACCATCTTACTGCATCAACTCTGAATTTCAAAATTTGGAGGTGATGTTTTACACCTATACAAAACAAAAGGAGTACCTTCAATCACATCATCATACCCTGTAATCTTACTTGTGCAGGTGTCCAGAACCATTTATCTGAAACTACATATTATTTAGTGAAAAAAGTCAAACCTCTAATTATTTTGTATCTGTTAAGTGTTGAGAACATTTCCTTGAAAACGCATTTATACTACCATGTTCATTCTCCAAAGCTTCAGACACTTTTTCAGCCAACTCATTATCATTTTCACTGCCAGCAATTTGTGGCTTTCCCCTACTAGTATCTAACCATGGCATGGACGTGGTTTGACATCTCTTTTTCTGCCATGTTCCCATGATGTTGCCTTCATCTTATCCCCAACCCATACCTGAGATAGCTTAAAATTATCCCTATCAGCTATTGTTCAGGGCATCAGGTAGTCCAGCATTCCTGCTAATGTAGGCCTCCAGACTGGAGATAGGTTTGCAGACCTAATGGGTGAAGAACTTCCTCTTCCTCTTTGCCTACTGTCTCTCCCAGCCTGGGGGTGAAAACTGGCAGCTGAAAGAGAGAATTCTAACAGATGGCTAAATCTGGACATCTAGCTATCTGCCCAAACCATTGCTAGTACTTTTCTTCAGTGGATTTTTTTCTCATTGGCTGGAGATACTGAGAAGAGGTGATGGGGAGGAAGCAGTCTTCCTGGCATAGGAAATGAGGACACTGACCCCCAGCTACATGTAGGAACAGATGTATCTGGGAGCAACATCTATGACAATAGCAACATCTATGCTGATTTAGTTTCTGCTGGCTCACCAACAGGATGAGAGTATTGTAAATGAGACAAGGGGAAAAGGCCTTTGAAATGCTCAGAATTTCACACGGCCAATCAGTCCAACATTCAGCTTATCAATAAGAGAGCATGAACAATAACCCTTCATCAGTTCCCTGCCCCTGTTGCCAGATCCACATTCTTCTGTCTGGTGTTTTGTCCTTGGAAAAAAGGGTTTTTGCATAGAGTCTGAGTGATCACAATGACAGGCAGCTACAAAGCCACAGTACAAATGCTGTCATGGAGGGGAGTTCACATAGAAGTCATTCTTGTTTCTGAATCAGAATTATAGCACACCAAGAATCCTGCCTTGGTCAGCAATATTCTACTGTTCCCCCCATGTCATCTTTTCTTCCTCATTTTCATCCTCTGGGTCTACAGCTAGTGCTGAAGTACCACTTCCAATAGCCTCAGCCAACATGACCAACAGTAAGGGATGTTGGGAATTGTAGTTCAGCAGCATTCAAAGGCCCACAGATTTTCCCACTTCTGCTTGAGACAAAATACGGCAGATATAACCAATTCAATGTATCCAACCTGGCGCCCTTCAGATGTGTTGAACTTTCCATAATTGACAGTCAGCACGGCCAACCATCAGGAGTTATAAAGATGAAGTCCAGCAGCTTTGAAATGGACCAAGTTGAGGAAGACATAATAATCACTTCCTATTTTTCCTCTTGGTTCAACAACAGGAAGAAGCAGGGAATTTGCAAGTAGCAATTAACTTATTATAAACAACCACTTCAGCAATATTCTGAGAAAACAATCCCACTGGCATTTAACCTCCCCCCTCCAAAAAAAGCAATAGCAGCAATCAGAGAATGCAGATTTCACAATCTAGTGTCTTTGCTTAGCTAGGCAACAATTTCACCCAAAACACTGCAACCTTTGCCCCGTGAATTACTCACTTATCCTTGCCTTGGGTCACCCATTCCTCCGCCAGCTGTTTCCTCTCCTGACTGCTTAGGGATAGACCTTCTCCTGTTGTTCCATTCACTGTTGTTAAAATATATATATTTGACATATAAAAAGAATAGAGTATATTTTAAAGTGACTAACAAAGAAGGTTAAAGGAAACTCTGCTTTACATTCCTTTGCCTACCAAGGCCTCTAATGTAGTTGTAAATATCAAAACTATTCCGAATGGTGACATCTTCGCTAGAGTTCACTTGGCCACTTCCTTCAAAAACTTCAGGTGGCAAGTTAAAACAGTTTTATTTGGGAGCATTCACACCAGCCATATTTGGAAATAATAATAAGGCAAAATTGCTTAGAAGTGTTTGTCATTCAAACCAACAGGAGCAGTTAAAACTAGAAAAGTCAAAATGGGGCTTTCAAAAAATCAAGCAGGGATAACAAGACATCCTCTTGCTTATTACTGATAAACCTAAATGGTGAAGAATTCTGATTTATCATTACATTTATCATTTGTCATATGACAGCCATTCTGGAACTTGGCTGTGTTAACACTATCACACTATGGTTTTCAGTTCAGTACATCTGCAACATACATGCTTTTCCCCCTTATTTCTGCTGGTTTTATTGTTCACTCCAAAGTTTTGATGGTTGTTCAGGGAGCCTTTCTCAATCTAATGCCTGTCAGATATGTCAGAAACTTGGCGTTCCCAGCCACATCTCAGAACTTCAGTATCAGTACATTTGAAGGGCAGCAGAGACAATCCACGTAAGGTAAAAAAAAAAAAAAAATTATTTTAGTTTGTTAGTTATCAATTTGAGACTTTAGAATCATTTTAATTATTATTTCCAAAACTTGATCCATTCTTTTAAGTGAGCGGCTTTCCAAATACCTACAATAAAGGAACCCTTTCTATATAGAGTTTTTCTGCAACAGTACTTGGGTGTTGTGCAGAGATGGTGTGAACACAGGCCAGGGATCAACATGGTTTATGCAGCATTTAGTAAACACACTTGGAGAGGACCTTGGGATCAAGTCTGAAACTAAGATTATAGCTTACTACACTTAAACAATCCATGATCATAACCAAGGTATGATTAGAACGATAGAAGGTATGAGGTAGAAGAAATAATCTGGCTCAGTGTTTCTCAACCTCAGCAACTTTAAGATGTGTGGACTTCAACTCCCAGAATTCCCCAGCCAGCATGCTGGCTGAATTCTGGGAATTGAAGTCTACACATCTTAAAGTTCCCAAGGTTGAGAAACACTGATCTGGCTTAAGCGCAGGAGTCTGCTAAACATTTGGCCATTTAGCCCATTTGAAAATTCATCACTGTTCTGGGCAGACCTGCTTAGCAGCTCTGCCATCATAGCTCTTAATATTCAGCCTGAATCTCCTTTCTGTCCATTACTTTTTGTCCTACTCGTGGTTTCAGTAGAGAACAGATCTGTCCCATTTTGCTCATGACAGGACTTAGGCATTTGTAAACCACTATCATTTTTCCCTAGTCTCCTTTTCTGCAAGCCAAACATGCCCAGCTCCTTAAACCCTGTTCAATTTGGCAGAGTGTTCAAGCCTGTTGAGGTAATGTTGAATTGTGATTCTTGTCCTTGATGTTATTGGCAATTTTATTAGCTTGGTGCCCTCTGCAAACCGGATAAGCATCATTTCTGTTCCACTGGGGCCTGTCTATTCCCAGATAAGTTCTTATGCCACATCCTCTTGGCAATCTCATTCCTTTATAGAGAGCTCTCAGTATAATACCCACATGCTTGTCACCTTTCCTGATGAATCTAAAAAAAAAAGCTAGTCTCCAGTCGTTTCACCTTTTCCTTCAGCAAGGAGAAAAGCTCCCATTTGCAACAGGCATAACTGGCATATGTTTCCCACTCAGGTATGTCACTATAGCTGCTGCTTCAGTGTCTATCCTTTCAGGAGAACCTGAGGTGCACTGGTTCCTTCTCCTATCAATCTTCCTCACAAAACTCTTTTCTCTTGCTTATTCCCCTGTAACCTTACTCCAGTCACCAGCTCTGAGTTGCTTCTTTCTACAGAAGCCTGCAGCCCCTCTCTCTCTGGCTAGTTATATAATCAGTAAATCAGCAGAAGCTGTAAGACCTTCCCCCTCAGATCATGCGCTCAGCACCCCCTAGCACAAAACAAACAGCTGCTCATAAGCAGCTAAGCATCATTTGCAAAACCTTGGAAGATCAGCTCCATGACTCACAAGTTTCCTCGTAAAACTTCCTATTTGCTCTCCTGATTGTTCTGGTCATGAGCTTCCAGATGCCTATTTCTTTCTGAAGAGTGCGAACTAAGGCAGTTGAGGGTTTTAAAATTTTGGCTTGCTTAGGCACATCATCCCAAAGGTAGACCTCCTCTCCTAGTTTGATTAGCCACTTACACAAAGAGAGGGACAAAGTGGAACCAAATGGACTGAATGCACCCGTACTTTACCAAATGCACCCATACTTTGTTCATATGCTGTGCAATTCATAGTTATCATTCCTTGGTTATCTGCATTTGACCCTGTATCCATTTCTGAGCCAGAAGTTGTTCCATTTATTCAAAAAGAAAGTTTCCTTGTAATACATGTTATAATCTATGTCTTACCAAATACATTCCTGACACCTTGCTCATTTATTAGGTAGTCCACATATTGGCCGATCACAGAGAGATTGATGTTTCTAAAAAAAGAAAAGAGGAACACAGCACAGCAGATGTAGCTAGTTATAAAAATCCTTTACAAGTAACATCTTACAAACTAAAGTTCCTAAAAAGATGGAGGCTTAAGTCAGAGATAAGCAATTGATAGTGATGTCACTGAACTTCAACTACCAGAAATCATGGCCAGTCTTGCCAATGAGAAGAGATGCTGAGAATTGTAGTTCAAGAGGATAAAGAAGTCCAGAGATTGCCCATTCCTGCTTTAAATAATCAGAATTTTTTCCTTGTTCTGTCACTGGCACAAAATATTGAGTAACTAAATAAAAGCTAATAAGCAGCTTTTAGTGTTTTCCCCAAAGTACATTTACGAGGGGGGGGGAAGTTAGATTATAAAAGCAAGCAGACAGTGGTACAAAACAGGATCTATTAAGAGTTGAATTTTGATCTGACTTTCAAGATTTTGCTTCTGCCCGAGTTTCAGCATAGCATAGAAAGGGCACTTCCATGACTTCGTCACCTACCTATTCATGATTCCTATTAAAACCCAGGTAGGATCAATGAAGGAAAAAAGCTCTCACATATTCCCAGATAGAGGCAGATAATAGTTTTTCTCCCAGAAATGTGAAAGACACTAAAGGCATTGTCCCCTGTGGTATAGATACTTATTCCAAATTACTATGTTTTGCTCAGAACTCAAGCATTCTCCACATAAAGAAAGCCAATGTCATATTATCTTTAACAGCCTGAGGAAGTCAGGCTATTTTGAGTACAGTATATAGAATACAATTAATTCATCCTTGCACAATATCAGGAGCAGCCTCATAGTTCACAAACTATTCTTAAGTTTACCACATAAGCATATATGCTACTCAGAATCTCTTAACAGTTAAGGATGAACTACGGTGAATTCTGTGACTGGAAACAGATGTATTTGCTTAGAGAAAATTGATTATGTCCCACCAAGTCAGTGTCAACTTTTAGCAACCACATAGATAGAACTTCTCCAGGATGATCTATCCCTAACCTGGCCCTTCAAGTCTTCCAACGGTGCACCCATTGCTCTTTTAATCATGTCCATCCACTTTGCTGCTGGTTATCCTCTTCTCTTTCTTTCCACCTTTCCCAGCAGTATGGACTTTGCATGGGAGCTGGATGTCCCCATAATGTCTCCAAAATATTGAGAAAGAAGAAAATATTGTTTACAATATCAGACCAAAGTCCACCTGTTATAACATTTTTTCCTTTATAAATTGGCAGATGAGAGTATCTTTGCTGAAAACTCTTGGTTTATTCTATACTACAGTGATATTACTCTACGGTGGGACCTTCTACATCTGATGGAGGAATCTATATAGGCTAGAAACCAAAAAGCTACTTCAGACACACCTGAGGATTTGTATATCCAGCTATATTGATGAGTGTTACTCTGTGTGTGTGTGTGTGTGTGTGTGTATATATATGTGTGTGTATACAGTAGAGTCTCGCTTATCCGACATAAACAGGCTGGCAGAACGTTGGATAAGCGAAAATGTCGGATAACACACAGTAATGATTGAGAGCGGTAAA